CCGTCGTCAGAACTTAAGTTGTGATTCACGTTAATGTTGTCAAATTCTCTTAAAGTGTCTATTACCGGTACATTTACGTCAAGTCAGTTGGGTCTAAATCAGTTGATTTAAAACGTTAATGTATAAATGAGTCCGCAAAAGTATCATTGCATGACCTAAAACAAAATAGTTTGGGAGTAAGGAAAAAGAAAAAAAAATGTGTCAAATATTATAATAACCATATCAATTTATTGTATTGTATTTTACCTTGAATAAAACCATAAACCAACGTAATCGTTCAACGTCAGATTTTATATAAAGAGTTATTAATGTAAAAGTTTGTTTATAAGTATATATATAGAATAGAATAGAATAGAAGAATCAACTTTATTCTGAGACTTCGTCCCTTGAGAATAACAATATTGTACAAAAAATTAACATTACATCTGGCCAAAATGTATATTACAATAAACAAAAACAAACAAACAAACAAAAAAAAAAAAACTAAAAAATAAGGGATAAAAGAAGTATTTACATAACTGTACAGATATAGGAAGACTTAATATGAGCAATAAGGTCCTAATACTTCAAAATAGTTGCTATACACAATACGTTATGAAATTATAAATGGGCGACAAATAACTTTTGTTGTCATGTCATTGTATTAATGAAAAAGAATACAATAATAGTACAATAGTATATATACAATATATATATTAATATATATATATATATATATATATATATATATATATATATATATATATATATATAAGTATGTATTCAACGTCACATGTCATTAATAAAATATTAATAAATATACTATATTATATTATTAATATAAATGGTTTGTTATTGATTTTAAAATTGTTTCATTATTCCAAGTCACAAAAGGATGTCCAGAACCTCATTTCTTGACAATTTCAATACAATAATTCATTTATATATGTAAATTTATTGCTAATAAAATTTCATGTTTCTCAGCAGGTTTCTAATTTTTGATCAAATTTAACTGTCTATTGGCTGAAAGCTTTGTGTTTCGAAATCCAGTCTAAACAATATCCAAAATTTATTCCACAATATCCATTCGTAGATTGTTTCTTTTCAATGAAAGCTGTATAAAAAATGAGTAAACACATTATACCTACATAAAATATTTTACATCGCTAATATAATTGTATGATTATTTATGAAGTAGTCATAGTATATTTCAAAGTATCACAAATAAAAAAAAACAATAGTTAAACAGATGTGTCAATTTTAGTTAAAATTGGTTTAGAGATAATTATTATAAATAACAATGTTTATAGTATTAATGAAATTTTTACAATTATATTTATTGTGTTCAAATTGGCGTTGTTCATGATTAATACATCAAGAAAATGATTGTATGAGAATGGGAAATCTTTGAATTAATCATTCATTTCAATCAATTTGAAATGAATTATACTTAAGCATATTTTATAAATACATCAACATTCTGAGAACTTTAGGGAACTTCATAATATATATATTTCTTGCTTTTACCCGTCATATATTTTACATGCTAAGTGCAATCTCATAATCTTCGATAGAATTCATTTATATTATATTTTTCATTTCGGTTGCGGAAAATATGCTTACTAAAATGTGTTGATTTTAGTCCAAAGCACTTTAGTTGAGACCAAAGTGTAATAAATAGGAAGAATAGGAAACGATACGATATCTTCTATGAATTGTACGAAATGAATTATGTATTTGTATGCATATTATGAATTAGGTTAGGAAAAGAGAGGTGAAAATCTAGGGAATGAGAAAAATGTATAAGGGGAGAGAAGGTAGAGAAAGGGATGCATAGTGCTAATAAATGAATGAAAGAAATAGTAAAAAAAAAAAAAATTATAATAAAAAAAATATATAGATAAAAAAATATTGTATACTATGCTCATACATATTTTTAATACTATATAATTGTATATTAGTTTTGGAAAATTGTCTGTAGCGATTAATAAGTATGCTGTGTTTAAAGCAACCCAATGTAATTGGGTAGCACCCTTTTATGATAATAAAGTGATTCTCTCTCTTATGGCTTAAATAAACGTTTGAAAGAACTTGAGAAGATCAATTTAATAGCATTGATGATGAAAATGTTTGGTTATATTAATAGATTTTTCATTATTATCATAGGATAAATATTTAATTTTAGCACAGAAATAAGTAAACAAGTATAAAAAAATTTAAAGTAATATACTGGACATTGAGGAAATATAAATCCCAGTAGTTAGGGATATTTATAAATAATACCATATGAAATAACGAGTAAAGATTAACAAAGTGATTATAGAAAGAAAATAAATGGAAGATTAATAAATATTAGAACTAGAAAATCTTTGGGTAAAGCAATGGTAGAATTTATTATGGAAAGAGATCAGTTGAACGAGTAGATAAAAACATTTGAATAATAATATATTATTATTAAATAAAAATAATTTAAATAGTAAATTATTTAAATCAAGGTATTCCACAGCTTTAGGGTAGAATACTTTAAATAAAACAAAGAAATATATTTTTAAAAAAATTGAAGTTATATTTAAAATTATATTTAGAATACGGTACCAAACTGGGTTTAAGTCAGGGAGTTTATTAGAGATATAGTTCGATGAAGTTTCGTTATGATTATGAAATTTATTGTCAGACCATTTTTTTAATAAGGATGATTTTAATCAAAATTGCAGATTGTATGGAAATTGAAACCAAAAATACCTTAGAGTCAAAAGGAAGTATTCAATCCTGAAATTTAACACTATTCGGGATTCGAATTAATGATTTCTTGTAATATTATGCTCTTTAAAATTAAAAAAAAATGTTAGTACTCTTACGATAAGAGTATATTGTTATTGTAAAAAAAATTCGTAATTATCTCATCCATAACAAATGTCACGTTTACAAACTAACAACAAACAAAGGTAAAAAAATGCTTCGTAGGATATACATATATATATATATATATGCTTTATTTATATATACACATACATATAACCACTTTTACTTCAAAAATAGACTGAGTAAAAGTTATAATATATAATATAATGACTGATATATAAATAAAGACATATCAGATCCAGTTTTTTCTTATTGTTTTGAAATAAAACTTCATCGCTTTAGCATAGTACATTCAGGCTAACTTAATCAGTAGTAAGTCAATGTATCAGTTTTTTTTTTGTAACCTCATATAAATAAATTTATTTGAACAAATTGTGAAGACAACGAGTGGTGATATCGGCATCCAACCTTCGGGTTCGCTAAGGCTTTATTTATTGTTATTATTATTATCTAAAGAAATAATATTGGGTTAGAGGATAAGATTCTAACACGAAGCCTTTGGTACCAGGAAATAATCAACATTTCGCCAAAGAGGGCATGAAAAAATAAATAAATTAATAAAACCACATAAATCCAGAGGTATCACATCTCAAAACAACAGTTTAAAATACCAACTAAATGGAGAGAGTACATGACTTAGAAAGTGTTCAACGTATATTGAAATATAAAAAATAAATAAATAAATGATATACTGCGTGACGCAGAATCAATGTGTGTGAGGTCATCAATAATTGCAAGATATTTATATTTCTCTCTGTCTCTCTCCCTCTGTATGTTATTTATATATTCTCCAAGTTCGGGGTTCAATACTTACTTTCCTTTCATTTTTTAAAAAGTTTCTGAGTATAAAATTGGAATTTAATATATATTACAGTTGATGATTCATAATGAGCAAATTGTGTTCTTAAAATGATTATAATGTTACGGATAAATAATGAAAAGATCTCCAGGAAAGTAAAGCATGAAGCTAGCCTTCAAAAATTGTAATTCAGTTATGTATATATATACCCACACATACAATTTAGTGTTGTACGTATTTATTTGTTGTAAATAATAAAATAATCGGTTGTTTCTTGTTTGTAATTTCGTATAAGCTATTTTTTTTATGTTCTGTTTATTTTATAGCGGTATATAGAACGTGCAACTAACACAATAAAAAGTTTCTTAATGAAGGATTTTAAGAAAAATTTTAAACTATTTTATCGACACGAACTGTTTGTATATTTTTCAAAAAATAAGTGTACCGTACTTCATGAATTTAATATATTTTATGAAGTACGAATTATGAGTTAGTTTTTTAAAATGAAAAATACGTCTAATTAAAAAAATATATATTTAGAATTACAAAAAGAAAAAAAAAGTAATAAGAAACAAATACGCATTTTTTAAAATTGTTTTCCTTACTCGGTATCCTCCCATAATTCACCTTCATGCACCATGCTTTAAAGGTATTCTACATGCAATTACATTACCTTTAAATAGAATTGACGTATGTTTAAAGACATAATTAAAAAGGTAAAATGACAAATTTGAAAGAAAATATAAAGAAGTAAAAACAGAAAAAAAGCTAAATAAATAAAAAACAAAATCAACAAAATTAAACAAAGACAATAAGAAATTACCTACGCTGCACATTGCCTTAGTCAATAAGTCAAAGTAGATAGTTCTAATAAATTTAAGGATGTCTTGAATTCAGTAAACAACTTTTGTTACGTCTCAGGCAGAAGTTAGTTAGTTTTTGGCCAGATTTGTACTTTACTTTGTATTAACTCATCATTGTTATTCTAAAGGGACTTAGTCCCAGAATAAAGTTTAATTTTCTATTCTATTTCTATTCTATTCTATGTGTGTGTGTGTATATATTACTATAAAATAACTTATATATAATGGTTATAAATACCTTCATAAGTAACTAATACGGTTTCGTATGTTCGTGTTCTATTTTTTTAAATTTTATTTATTTATTTTTATGTTATTTTATTCTTACTTATTGTATATATATACACTTATTATTTGCCTGTTTTATTTATTGTACATAGAGTATGATCTATGATATGTGATCTATGAAAACTATTATAAATGTCCTTTGAGACAGATTGTAATATTATTCAATAAAAAAAAAAAGAAATGTTTGAATAACATTTCTTATTAGTTAACTATTCGGAGTTTCGGATATAACGGGGTTTAACAGTAATTGTAAAAATGTACATCGTTTGCTTCTTAAATAATTGTGTTCATATTGCTATCAACAGTCCGTAAAAACTCTATTGTCTAGTTTAGTGAATGGAGTATGGTTGAGTGAGTTGTAAGTAAAGCATATCGCTATAGTGTTAGGTAGTTCCCTCACCGCGGGAGACGGTATTAAAACCAATCTAGAGTGAAGTAGAGGGATTCCACTTAACCCTCTCCACATTGTGTAACCTATTGAAAATTTATGTTAGACTTGGCAGGAAGTAGGAAGGGCAAACTGGTCCTCGGACCCATCTGCCCGCCAGGTAAGCTATAAAATAATCTACAAGGACAACAGGGTTAGCCAGTAATGCCACCCCCAATGGAGGCGGCTCCTGTATCGGCCAGATGCCATTGAATATAGATAGAGAATTAACCCTGGGGGAGGGGAACCCCCCCACCATTTCCTCCCCCCTCCACCGGCCCCTCTCCCCACCCCCTCTGCACCATCCAACCCCCTCCATCAACCCCCCCCCCCTGCACACTAACGTTCCCACCCGGGACAATATTTACAGTCGGATAATGAAACATCTGATGAGAAGCCAGTTCGCCCCTCGCCCTGGCCTATTTGTGGTCCTACAATGGATACATTTAGCCAACCCTCTTATTATAATGGCTTTAAGTAAATCTCTTTCATAACACAGCTAGAGGAGGCTTAGTTGGGATTAAAAGGCAACTGGCCAACGTCTACCCCCATTAGCCAGTTATTATAGAATATTTTACTGGCGACGTCGTTGGTAATAATATCAAACCCTAAACGATCATATTATATTCCGTTGCGTGTTAACGTTAGCAAAACATATGACATGACGAAATATTCTAATATGCCTGGATACTTTCAACAGTTTTAGAATAAATATAGACTGATAATACCTAAACGATACAATTTTTTTTTTAGTTAAGTCGATTAGATAAGCAGTAGCGAATCCTGGATTTAATTTCTGGCAGGCCATTATATATATATATATATATATATATATATATATATATATATATATATATATATATATATAATATATTTATTTTATTCTATTTTTTATAACTGTGATCACTCTGAAAGAAAAAAAAATATAAATTATATAAAATAAAGGTTACGTGGTACTTTCAGGCCTGTTTTTAAAAAACAACAAAAAACAGGAATAAATATTTTTAAATTGAAATAATTTGGGCTTTAATTTTTCCACCACAAGTTTATTCATTCCACGATTTTAATTTGCTTGAAAATATTTCGTCCATTATGCCACGTTCAAAACAATCTAAAAAGACTATTTAAAAATTACTATTTTATTCTTTTTTTTTTTTTTTGTTTTCCTACGTCTGTTGACTTCGACTTCAAGTTCATTATATAGAAACTATATAAAATAAAAATTACGTGGTACTTTCAGGCCTGTTAGAATAAAAACAGGGATAAATATTTTTTAACTGAAATATTTTGGGCTGTCATTTTTCCACCACATGTTTATTTATTCCCACGATTTTTAATTGCTTGAAAACATTTCGTCCATTATACCATGTTCAAAACAATCTAAAAAGACTATTTAAAAATTACTATTTTTTACTTTTTTTTTTCCTGCACCTGTTGACTTCGACTTAAAATTCGAAATATAGAAACTATATAAAATAAAGCTTACGTGGTACTTTCAGGCCTGTTAAAAACAAACAACAAAATAAATAAAAACAGGGATAAATATTTTTAAATTGAAATAATTTGGGCTGTCATTTTTCCACCACATGTTTATTCATTCCACGATTTCTATTTGCGTGAAAACATTTCGGCCATTACGCTATGTTCAAATATATATATATATAACTAAAAATATTAGTTTAAAATTACTATTTTACTTCTTTTTTTTTTCCTACGCCTGTTGACTTCGACTTTTTAAGTCAGATCTTCGAGATATCCAGGGAGTGCTAGTGTTACCCAAAATCAGTCTTCGTCTTAGCATTAGCACTAGCACTTAGCAAGACCAAGACCAAGACCGCTGTTGCAAGATGCTGACTGTTGAAAGACCAAGACCAAGCCTGTTAAAAAAATCATATTTGTGAATAAGGATTAAGGCAAAATAGTGACTAATACTTGACAATTTTAGTTACTATATCTAAAGAATTGGTATAACCAATATACTTTTGCATTTAACTCTTTCAATTTTTCATTCATGCTTAGTTAGGTTTCCCTATATCTCTATAATAATATGCTAATAGTTAACTACAAGACTGTTGAGGAACTCTCCCGAGACTATTATTGGTCTCGCATTTGATTAACACTTGGGAGCACGTGGTATACTAACCAGACGAGATCACATTTCGCTCCCTCATTTAATTAAATAGTGATGTAAATAATTAATTATATTTAAAAATATTCAATTGATATTTGTTGACAATGTTCCGTGTGGGATTGAGTTTTCTAATAACACGTTAATATACAATTTAAATAGAAATCGTGGAATGAATAAATATATGGTAGAAAAATAACAGCCCAAATTATTTCAATACCCAAATAAGAATTTTCACCTCAAAATTGATAAAATAACAAATATTTATATATTTTTTTCATAACAAGTTCTTAGATTAAGTAGCGTTATAATTTAAAGAAAATACATATTTTGATTGTTAATTAGCTCATATCACTCAGAGAAACAAATATGAGTCAATGAATAGCAAAATATATTTTTTTCATTTTACCAAATACTTTGGATTGGTTTTGGTATTTAGTAATTGCTTATCGGCGTATATTGTTAACAATCTTAACTTACTCTATAATAGTTACTTTGTTTTATATTTGAATACTAATTTTAATATTATTGGCCTCACTACTTTTTATTTACTTTGTTAATTATTTTCTTAATAAAGATTTTCACTTCAATTTTGATAAATGCTTTAAACGTTATGGTGCTAAGCAGTAGCATGAATCTTGAGCATTAGCGGATCCAGGATTTAATTTTGGGGGGGGCTTCAGCCCGAAACCTTTTTTTTTTCACAAAAATAACGATAATTACTTTGGAAAAACAGAAAGAAACTAACTACCTATATGAAATGGTGTTTAAGTTATTCCTTAAGTACTTTTAAATGTAATTACACGAACAATAATACTTTAAGAGGTATTTTTTAATTTTCTTTTCCCATAAAACATGGTTATATTTTTCCATTTTGGGGGGGGCTTCAGCCCGAAAGCCCCCCCTCCCCCCCCCGTAGATTCGCCCGTGATCTTGAGTGAACGATACCTCGCTTTATCGAGCTTAAGTGTTATTATTAGAGATCGGATCTTGGTGTAGTAAAAATCAGAAAAACGTGCAGAAAAAACCTAAAATATGTAAAATTGTGTTATAAATTAGGAGTTCTACGGGCGCAATAATCTAGTAATTTATCGTCCTAAAACCCTACCTTACCCTCTACTAGTTAAACATGACTTCGCATATTCATTTTAATTTTTAAGTATTTATTTATTTTTTTATTTGAACGTTGCTAAGTACATGTGAGATAATTTTATAAGGAAATTTAAAAAAAAATATTCACTTCGAACTTCATCAGGTTTTCCATAATATATAAACATATTATTGTACACTTTTGTCAAATGTTTTCCGTATTCCTTTCGCATCTTTTCTTACATTCCATTTCACTTAAAATAGAAGTAATAAACAGAGAATTAAAACCTTGTAATAACCTTATCCACACATTTGCGAAATTAACACCAGGTTTAACAGACCCCAGACTGTTTTAAAATCGGGTATGCTAGCTGCCATATTTAACACACTCATCTGAAATAAGTTTCTCGATTTTAACATATTTAAGTAGTTTACAATACTTAGTACTAGTTGCATGAATACCCCTAATGTCTCTAGCTCATTAATCATATGTTATTACTCTCCCATCGAGTTTATTCGAATCAACGTAGATGCAATAGAGCTGCATGTAGATAACTGGAAAGAAACAGCGCAAGAGTAGAGATGGCGAAGGCTTGTCAAAAGATTTACAAGGTATGTAATGCCGACAGCAAAAAAAATCAATAAATAAAAAATCTAATATATATATATATATATATATATATATATATATATATATATATTTAAATTCTGTAACCTAACCTCTTGTCAAAGGACCGTGCATTATTCTATAATTGTTTATTTTCTCCTTTCTACCCCTGATGAATACATGGATCTTTGGGTCGAAACGTAGGCTTAATAAATAGTTTCCACTTTCCTCACTTTATAAACGGTCAACCATTGAGTATCTAATAATAATATTTTTATTTCAAAAGAAAGCGTTCGTTTCTAGAAAAATCTAGCTTTCTGTAATATTATTTGTTTATTTCGAAGTTTTTACATACGTACATATCAAATCTAGTACTCTAATATGAGCTATATCGGTATATGAGAAAAGTAGATTACGATAAGATTATTTAAGATTTCAGAAATCGATTAGCTTAATCCTTTATCCCTTGCTAATTTCAATTATAAAATAAAAATAATCAAGTAGGCAGGAATGGGAAAAAAAAATTAAATTGAGTGAAACGAGTATTATGAATTTTTAAAATTTATATTAAGTTAACGATTTGACCTTAATTACTGTATATAAAATACAAGAAATTTGTACCAGACAAACAAATAACTATTGTATTATTTCATAAACGCTAAATACATAAATACAGTTTGCTTTAAGGGTAAATATTAAATATCATATCCACGTCTATTTTTTTTTTTTTTTTTTTTATTATTCCAGATAAAAAGCAGTTTTCTGTCTATGGAAATCGAGTAACTTTCAAGTAATAAAAAATATATTTTTATGCAGTAAAAAATTTTGAATTAAGACAGAATGTTAGATAGATTAAATAAGGCCAAGAGGTCGTCGAAAAAACGAAAATAAATTACACAAACAAGAAAAAATAATGTTTAAAAATAATTTCGTTTGCTTTGGCAATTCAAAACACAACATAAAACACTTTAAACTGAACAAGTAAATGTTTAAAAATATAATGTGATACTTTCTAAAAATAAAATATACCTTTATTTAGTATATAATAAAAGAAAATTAATTTCATTAATTGTTGATTGAAAATAATTTATATTTGTAATCTGAAATATCATCTCCGGTGGTGGGTTTAACTAATTATATCTATTTTTCATTTAATGAAAATTATCAAATATGCAAAATGCATTTGCATACACTTACTAGTAGTGGTAAATGGTCATTTGAACAATATATGCTATTGCATAAAAATCCAAGCCTTGTTCATAAGAATATACTTACAAATGCCTGTTTACGATTTATTTTCTAATTTATTCTATTGATTTGAGGCCAGTTGGTATTTGTATTTGGAGCCTAAACATATAAAAATAAATAAATAAATAAGCTCTTTCAAGTATGCTTTTGTAGGCAAAGTGGTCTTTCTCAGAAGCAGTGTAAAAGAAAATTTATGATCTATCAGCAACGAAGCCAAAATAATCGCGAAAGTGAACATCAAGATTGT